CGTAAAGTTTTAACATTCACAAACAGAGGTCAACTCATTAGCCAAAGGTCAGCAAGCCAGAATCTGAATCCATGACTCCCTAACTGTGAAACCCATGGTCCCTGGCTCTACTCAAATTCCAGGATTCAACTCCATATATAGAAACATGGGGCTTTCCTTTTTAGAAATCAATTTAATCCCACAAAAGCAGAAAAACCACCAGCACTACCACCACCATCATCATCTACACTATTAACATCACTAACACTAGCACCAACAATATCTCCATTTTATAAATAAAGAATCTGAAGATCAGGAAGTTATTTACCCAAAGTTATCTATCTAGCACATGATAAAGTTAATGTTCATGGAATCCAAACCAAACCTAAGAACATGAAAATAATGTTCCTTGTTAGAAATAAATGATGGCTATAATGCTGCAGAAAATACACTTTATAATAAAATATTTTGTTCACTAAAATAATTATTTTTAAAATGCATTGGTTTTGCTAAATAATAAGCAAGTTTGTATCTAATATCAACAGATCCTTGTTTGCTTTTTAATTTCAAGGACAGAATTACTTGGGTTTGTTGGATCTAGTTTGCACCAAGAAGCATTTGCAGAATTTAGTACAAGTATCACCCAATTTGTAATCTGTCTACAAAGCAGAATATTTTGTCTTGATCATTCATATATCCCAAATGCCTACATAGTACATAGCATATATTTGTTACTGAAATGGGAATAACTTTGGAAGAAAAAATATTAAGCCGAAAGAGGTCTATAAAATCTTTCTACTCTTGTAACAGAGGAAATTGAGAAAAAGTTAATTGCTTAAGACTACAAAATTGGTTGATAGCTGCGATTCAGAAATCAGCTATTGCACTGCAAAGTAATTATGATTTTTTGCTTTATAATGTACTACCTAATAAATATTGAAACAAACCAGTACTTTTGTTCACATCTATTCGGTGTCTATGTAATTAGCTGAATATGGTGGTGATACAAAGGTGACTAAGAAATGGAACATCTTTTTAAATATTTTACATTGTAAACAGAGAGGCAGACGTTTTATATAGCCCACTACCATGTCAGTGAAAAAGTGATGTGCCCAGAGAGGGCAGATTCCAGAGGCTTCGTGGAGGGAATATGGTTTAGGTGATGGAGGGGAATTCAAGATAGAGGAAGGATTCGGCACAAGCAATGAAACTGTTTTTTAAAATGTCACATCTTAAAGAACATGGAATAGTTTAAATTAGTTAAATCATAGTATTTAGCATACCACTACCAAATGGTAACTGATACTTTGGACCAAAATAAAGGACTTTAAAAAAAAAGATACTATTTTCAGTACATCAAAATATACTACCTTGAATTGAAGTATATTACTATGGACATTACACCTCTCACTTTCTTTACTTGTGTTTGCTAGCAAATGCAAGCAAGCTTAAGAAAAACAACATCTTAAAACAATCTATGAGGTATTTATGCTTTTTAAATGTTTTATATGATTATTTATAAATATTAAAAATGGAAGTATTTTTGCTTTCTAAAGCGATGTGATGTTTTAGGATCAAAACTGTATTATTTCATTGCTCAATGATGAATGAAGGAGATAAAGGAGATAATGTTTTATAAAAAGCTGTGGGCTCCTGAACTAAGAAAACTTGGGCTCAAATGAAATGAGTTAATGGTTATAAGAAGGAAGAATAGTGTCTGGCTTTAAATATGACTCCAAATATTAGTTATTATTTTTAGTGTTACAGCTGTTGTTACTACAGTGTAATGAAGACCAGTTGAAAGAACATATTTATTAGAACATTTCAGAAAGTACTCACTACTATTCATAAATTAACATATTGTATGTTATATAGACATACTTTTATGCCAGGTAAGATGACTATCCACACTGAGCAAGATTTAGGGGATCATTTTCTAAAACAATCTCTGTTTTTCTTGTATTTCTATGTGTGTTTTTGCTTTCCTGCCAAATTATTAATTCTTTATTTGTCCTGTCACCAACATTTACTAGTTTCCAATTTTTCTGTAGTTAATAATTTTTTTCTGTAATTACTAACAGTAATGTAATTCAATGTCATACTGCATTGAGTTGTTGGCTTTTATTTCTGTTCCTATTTCTCCTATTATAAGTTTCTATTTTTAAGATATGATTTAAAAAAAAAAGTTTCCTTTAGGCTAAATCTCAGGAGAGATGATCTTGGCCTGATTATTTTTTTTAAACAAATGAAAAAAGTCTACTGCATAGTTTTAAGCTAAAATGAAATCTTCCCTGGCTTTATCTAATAACTACAGTGGGGAGCTGGAGACACTTGATATCAGAATTTTTGACAACAAAACATTAACTGACTTACCAATACAGAAAAGTACTATGCATTTTACAGTTTTAATTTTTATTATTATTCATGAATTGTACTGTCAAAATAATTGCAATATATATTCTCTATGTTCCCATACTTAAATTATGAGGTGGTTACAATGTACACAAAATATGGAGAAGCCACAGGAAGAATTAGTAAAAAAAATTCCTATGATTTGTGGCAGGAACTTTTTAATTAATCTTTTGTTGGAGTGAAAAAGATATCAAATGTATAATTTGATGCACCATTTCCTTCCCTGATTTACTGCCTAGGTTACCTGATTGTGATAATATTGATAATATCTAAAGCTTTGAGGAACAATAATACAATGGCAAGATAATCATAGAAAAAAAGGCTGGCTGGTTAGGGTATACTAAGCCACAGTTGTCTTTATAAAGATCTTAATTGGCACCAGTCCCTATTCTGAATGATTTACTCTATACTAAAGGATAAAGAGTAGTCAAAGAGACAGCAACCAATAGCCAGGGACAGAGAAGTGAAAAACAGAAGTGGGGTTTAAAAGGAAAGGAATGAAGATTGAAAGAATTCGATGCAAAAATAATACGTCATAGGCAAGTACTGTGGGATAAACTTTGTAAGACTGTTTAAAGTCCATTTGAAAAATGTTCATATTTTATTACTTTATTATATGTAAAGTCAGCACAGTAAAGTAGTTCAAAATAATATAAAGTATATTCTATCTCTATTTTTATTATTATTTCATTGATTGTGTGTACATTTCCTGCTCCCCTGAACTAAGATGTAGACTTAATGCAACTTAATCCTACGCTTCTTTGGTATTGATTTATTAATCATTCAGTCATTTAACTATATTCACCTGGAGAGACAGGCTGTTGTAAGAGTTCAGATTTTTCACGTGGGAGCCAAATTGCCTCTATTCAAATCAGGCTTCACCACTAGTGAAAATGAGTAAATACCTCACTTCTCTGTCCCTTAGTGTCCTCATCTGAGAAATGGAGATAATTAAAAACACCTATCACATAAGGTTGTTGTGAGGATTAGATGAGATAATATATGTAACCTGTTCAGAACAGTGCCTGGACATATAGTAAGGGCTACAGTAGTATTAACAACTATTATGACACTGCAGTCCCTGTGCTCATAGCACTTGTATACTAGAGGGTAGACATTCTTGTAGCATTTTGTTTAGAGCTCCACTAAAGCACTTAAAAATATCAGGTGAACAAAATTTCACCAGCCCTGTGATGATAAGTTACCAAGTACATTTATGCTTTTAAATAGGAAAAATATAAGGTAACTTATTTAAGATAAAATAGACATAAGATTCTTCTGAGGAGAGATAGGTATGGAGCATTTATTCAAAAGGTATACATAACATTGGTCTTTTAGCAAATCCCTGGGGAAAAAGGCTTAGCTCTAGCAGACCTTTATAGACAGCCCTGTAAGGAACCACATGTATGATCATGAACCAATTCCTTCAGACAACTGAGCCTGCTTTCCTAACTTCTAAAATGAAGCACTTCAACAATATAATCTCTTAGGCTCTCTTTAACATATAATATTACATTAATAAATTTTGTGGATTAATCTGGAGGAGTAAAGATCCCAAAAGGCTTCAGAACACAAAGAAAAGAACAATATGAAAGGACTGAATTTATACTCACACTACTTTACCATTGAAAGAGATGAATACTCTTAAGTTTGGGGCTGAGATGATCTAGTTACTGAACTATCAGGGTATTCCTACAGCATATGTGTTTCATATGTGTTTTCACAGTGGTCTCTAACAATGCATATCATTAATAACAAAGAACAAAATAATGCATGGCTTGTTTCTTAATACTACACGTGTTCTTTCATGTATCAAATACAGTTCTGAATATGATTATTTAGTAACGATAGAAAAAAGCAATGCAAAATAAATTAGAAGGACAAAATACATTTTATTTATATATATATATATCACAAAGTATGAAAAAGAAAAAATATATACTCTAAATGAAAAAGAAAAAATGAGAAGAAAAAGAATTTCTAACACTTTTTGAAATGAGGTTAGACAGTTTTCATTATAGAAGGAAGTGTTTTGTATACATGTTTAATTTTTAATATCATGTCTAGTACTAATTCTCTGTTTTAAGTCATAAAGGACAAAATGTGCCCTTGAAGCAATGAGCAACTTCAAATCTGAAAAGACAGCATAGGAGGAGAGAGGTATTTTTAAGTGGAGCTGAGGACTTAATAAGCCACATCTGACACCAGGTTCTAGTATCATTCGTAAAAACAGAGATTGCATGCCAGGCAATCCTTTATTTACAGTATTTTAAAAAAATTAACAAAGCAAAATAGTCTGAATAATTGAAATGTAGAATACTTAAAATACTTGTCTCAGTAAATGATGCTATTTCATTTGTTGCAATGTATAACAAAATTCAAAAGGATAAGACCCTGAAATATTTTTAAATGAATGACTCAAAGAAAATAACAAGAAAATAAATAATTTAGTAAAATAAAAATTTACCAAACATGGAAAAAGTCTTCTGTAGATTAAATTTTTATTCTGGATAATTATATTAATTATGATAAAGCCTATGGTAACCATTTTAACAATATACAAATCACATCTAATTTTCTTGATCAGTATTCTGTGTAGTTTACCATACCTGTGGGTAGCTGTCAGTCCTTGGCAAAACTGATATATCATAGGTGGCGGCAAAATGGCTTTTAGCTTGTTGTATTTGACCATAACGTTCCCTTTTCCTCCACTTGGCCCTTCGATTTTGAAACCAGACCTAATTTTTTTTTTAAAAAAGTAAAATTTTTGTTATGAAATATTTGATAAAGCAAGTATGAGTTTAAAAGACTTCAAACAAGAAAGGTAAATTAGGTCAACAAAATGACTAATAAAGGAATTTCTTTATGTCAGAAAAGGATCCACAAATTTACTTGCTCTTGTATTCTGGTAAGTGGTACGTCCATGAGGCAATATAATTTAACAGAAGGATCCAGGAGACTTTCGGCAAATTTATTTGATATGTCTGAGCCTCTGTTTTTACATTTAGGGAAAATAAAAAGGAATTAGATTATGTGATCTTGTAGACTCCTTGCATCTCCACATAATCATGGATAATCCTCCTCTAAGAAAATGCTGCAAGTCTTAGAGACATTTATGCTAGAATACTAACCCAGCCAATCTATGACCAAATTAATGCATGTATCTATTTAAAAAATTATCTTTAAAACATGTCACAAAGTGAAGACTCATCTGAGTTGTACTCATGCTTATAATCTTATAATATCTTATAAGATAATTTTATAAAAATTTAAACATAAAGATTATTTCTAAGACATGTCAGCAGCAGGAATATCATGATAATTTAGAAACAGAGAAAAATAAGATTGTATATTATATTGAGCAAGATAAAGATGACAGGTAAAATACAATCATCTAGGGTTGAAATATGGTTTTAAAATACATAAATGTGCTTATTACATATATCATGCTACTTATTTATTTTTCCTTATGGAAAAAAAGCTTAGATATTTTCACAATCATTTCTCAAATTTAAAACACAGGTAACATAAGTAATGATAGAAACAGGGCAGACAGAAGCAAGTGTCAAGAAAGTCTATGAGTTAATGTGGCCACTACCAGGTCATTAAGCTGTCTTCCACAATTTCTCTAATTATCTATTAGAAATATTTATCATAAGAACCACCTGCCTCAGAGGATTAAATATTCATTAATCCATATTTATAACACTCCAAAATCTTCATTTTAATATTTTAATGTATTAAAGGGAGAGACAGAAAGCTAAAATTATATTCAATATGTATATTTTGATATTGTTGAGTGAACATTACATGAGCAGCTTTTGGGAGTCTCTTTAGTCTCTTTACACAACTATGTTCAGAATATAAAGTATTTAGGAAAGATGCTAGAAATAAAATATAAAGATGCAAAGCCTTTCATTAAAGCCTTTCATTAAAATTTACTTGAAATTTTTAGTCTTTTTAATACTCAGTTCTAATCTTCTGTATCTTTACCTTCACAATTATGGCAACATCGCACTAGGAAGAGTTTTCAGCAATTAAAATAAGACAAAGAGAGCTACCTGTTCATTATGGTTTTAGTACACTGCCGATAAATGTATATTATCCATTACAACCAGGGCTCAAGACAACAACAAAACAAAACAAAACAAATCACATTTTCATTTTCTTGCTGTCTCCACAGACCAGGAACATACTAAGGGAATTTAATAATGAGTTTTTTTTTTATTTTTTTCATTGACAAAAAGACCTTGACAATCTCCTTAAAATGAGTGCCAATTACCACTCTCATGTGAAAAGCAGGAAAGAACAACCTTAGTAAATTAGGTTCAGGTTGGCTCTCTCTGCATGTTCTTAGACAAAAATTAATCAGAACTTGACGAAATGTTAAGGGGAAAACATGCATTGTGCACAGCTGATCACTCTGTGTGTAAACTTATTTTTCTATGGTTACAAGTATAACTAATTTAAATAGATACAGACAAAAAAACCCACACATGTGGGACTGGTGTTAATATTTGACAATTCTAAAATTCTTCGTTAGCATCAACTTTCTACATATTTACTTCCTGAACTAAGATAAAGTAACTATTTGCTTCCACAAACGCAAGTAAAAATCTGCTGCTTGTTATCCCTGCACCACCAGATGTTGTCTTTAATGATGTAAGGGCCTTACAATAGCTTAATCTTAAGAAAGAATACTATTACTCTACTCAGAGCAAAATTTTTCATTATTTTGTTCATTTCTCCATTCTAATGGTTTATGAGAAAGGCAAAATTCAATGTTTTCCTAGAGTACTGAAAACACACACAAAGGAAAAACGCCATTCTCTTAAATTACTGTTGCATTTTTAAACTCATTACTTGGGAACTAATAAGATATAGTTTAAGAATACCTAATTGTAGTCAAAATAAAATATCCCTAAAACGTAAAATTTTACCTGGTATGATTTTTCTTCTTCAAATGATTAAAAAAATTAAGTATATTGAATGATCCAATTTGATAATTTGAATAAATGTGTAAATAAAATTGAGTAACGCAAAAAAGTTATTTTAAGCTCATTATTTCTATTACCTTTGCAAAAACTATATAGTCTATCTAGATTTTAAAAATTTTAGTGGAATAGCACATATTGACAACTACTATAGCTCAGTTATAAATGGCTATTTGATTTTTTTAAATCATGTACAGTGAAGATATTTTATAGAATATATAACAATTGGGAGTTGATGGGATTGTTTCATTATAAAATATAATAAAATATATTTATTTTAAAATTATAGATCTATGAACTATTAAACAAATAACTTATAAATACTAGGTATATAACCTAAAAAGAACCTCAATGACTGATAAAATAGAAAAACAAAATCAAATATATCAATTACTAAATAGATAACCATAATTTTGTTTTTCACCCTTTAAAAATTGCTTTTTACAATCAGAGATATGTTATGTTCTATTCTTTTTAAATGATTAATTTTTATGTCTATGTAACAATTCGGGTGTCCTATTGTTTTGTGTGAGTTGTTAAATCCTTTGCAAGTAATAAAGGAATTTTAGTGAACCTACATGCATGTATATTACATTGCTATATATCTTTAGCTGGCGAGTCACTTTGTTTCTTTGTGGAAAAATGCATGTATTCAATTATTCTAACACTACTCCTCTTCCAATCCCACCCCTCAAGGCCTCCATTTGGCTCCTACCTGGACCCTGGCCTCAGTGAGCTCTGTTCTCAGAGCAAGCTGTTCTCTGACATAGACATCTGGGTAATGGGTTTTCTGAAAGACCTTTTCCAGCTCTTCTAGCTGCAAACTGGTGAAGGTGGTTCGATGTCTCCGCTTCTTACTGCTGGATACATTACTGTCACATTTATCCCCAAGTTCATCAAGTTCTCCCTTCTCTTGCATCCCTTTCACGGGGGACATTCGAAGACTGTTACAGTTGTCCATAGCTCTATTCAGTTCGGTGTGAAGGGCTTGTCCTTCTACTTTAGTGATCCCATAGTTCACTGTAACCAGAGGGAAATAAATGACAGTTCTCAGGATTGTGAAATACATCTCGGTGAAAGAATTAAGTAGAAGTAATTTAGAGCATCAGGAAATCAGTATGTTAATGATTTATTGTGCTAGCTTTAAGTCAATCATCACATTATACACAATTATTAATTCACTTTGGCAAAGGTTTTAAAAACCATTTTAAAATGTGCACACAGAACAGATATAATTTGCCAAAATTCACAGATCTATTTTACAGGGTTAAAGTAATGTTTATGCACATAATTTATAATCAAATTAATGTAGTCAAATTAAAAGATGCTCTAGACTTAAAAAAAAAACAAAAAACTAAGTGTTCCCAATTTTTGAAAAGTGAAGCAAACTTAATATAAGTCATATACTTATTCACAGCAGACAAAATTAAGCTACTTAAGTGGCCCAGAAAAGATACTTCAATTTTAAATACCTGTATACCAATATCCAAAAGTTATCATTCCCCTCCACGCAAAATCTACTGACTATGGATTTAAGATGTGACGTCATTTCCACATTTTGATTATTTCACCTATGCCTATAAATTTATGTCTACATTTGCTTTTTTTTCCAAAAAGTGATCTACTAAATTTTAGAAATGAATTTCATATCAATTTTTGGAAGTACCTTCTATAGAAAAAATAAGACTAAAGTAAACTTTTTTTACCTTAAAAACTCACCTGGTAGCTTTCTTAAATATTTCATATTTCTGCTTAACTTCTGAAATAAGTTTTAAGACAGAAAGCTTTATTTTTCCCTCTGCTAATGCACAGAAATTAAAACATCTTTTAAAATATTATATAGAATGGCATCTGGAATTCTGCTAAAGGATATTTTAATTTCAGTGATTTCCTTCAGATTTGACTGCATGCTTGTATATGATATAAAAACAAAAATGTATCATATAATAACCACACACACACACACACACAAATACAATGGATGCACACAATCAAATGGGAGGCATTTGTTAAGTCAATTCAGCCAGAACAATAATTTCCAATGGATGTTCATACTTTTTTGATTTGTTTCTGTTTTTAAATCATGCCCCATAACATATTTTACAGCTGTTTAAATTGTGATACAAATGTATTAGATTGTAATGCCTACATAACTTAAATAGGTAATAATTAAGTACTGTGAACTTCAATGTCACTAAAAGAGTAAATCTCAAATGTTCTCATCACAAAAAATGTCAAATATTTGAGGTGATGGCTGGATTAATTAGGTTGATTTAATCATTCTACTTTGTATTCAAAAATCATAACATTACTTTGTACCCAATAAATATACACAACTATAATTTGTTAATATATGAAAATTTAAAAAATCATTCCTAATAGCCTTCATGCCAAGGAAGATGTGATGTTTAACTAAATAAAAAAGAAGAGCCATGACTGATTAACAGTACGGTTTTGTCTCCGTGGGCAAAGTTTAAGGGGAACTTCGGCAATTAGGGATGGGGGAGGGGAAGCAGCGGAGACACTAAGGGCATCTCAGGAGAAAGAATCTTTCCTAAATTAAGCGGATTCCTGCCTATGTTCATCTTACTTAATACTTTTTATTACAATTTATCTAAATAGCGTGGTATTCGTTTAAAAGTTCATAAAGTATCAAAAATCATCTATTTCTCTTCCTTTATTTGGATTCCCGACTATTTAAAAATAAAGAGTTACAACTGAGTCCTGCCAGCAGTCAACACAGGACACTGCAGGACCATTAAAGAAAGTCCTGTCAATTCAAATAATTTTATGGACGCATCTAGGAATCCCACAAATACAGATACTGAAGTCTAAAAATCAGCCAGAAAACCACAAATTTAATGTATGCATAATAAAAATTAATTACTTGCGTCTTTACTAACTAAATGAAACAATCTGATGATTCTCTGTCATTTGCGCCTTTATTTTTGATTTACTCTTACAAGTCAAAAGTAACCTGGAACGTTGAATAAAATAAGTAAAAGATGAATTTTTTTTAAAGCTTGTGCACAAAGTATTCAGAAAATGAGTTTTTACAAGCCAGAGTCTTGTCAGATTTTGAATCTCCATTAAAATAGGGGGCGGGAGGCTTGTTGTAAATATTTCACACTTAATTCGTTTGTTATTTTAAAGCAACCCGCTCCTTACAGCTTAACTGTGGAATATATACAATGATAAGGAAAAGTTCTCTCGGCATTGTAAACGTACTTTAGCTGTCGCGATCAGAAATAATGGGTTTATTTGCATTGAGTTACCAGATAGAAAAGACAGATGGTTTGTTTTGATAACATTTTGACTTTGAGATACTTGGGCATTCAAAGTTGAAGTTTTTATTGAGAAGCATTTCGAAGGCTTCTTAGGTAACTTCTAATGTGGAATCAGAAAAATAGACAACGCAGAATGTGGGAGTGAATGATTATACCGGGGACTCTTTGCCTGAAGCTATTTAAAGTCACTTGGTAGTTAACTAAAATTTAACTCATGCTGTACTGCAAACACAAAAAAGCAGAAATCGCAAATCCACACAAAGTTATAATCTAGCAATCCTCCCACTTCACGGTGAGAAAAACATCCCCATGTCTCGTTAAATTAAAAAAAAAAAAAAAAGGTTTGAGGTTTTTTGTTTGTTTGTTTTTCACCTAACGGAGCCCAGAGATTATTTTATCCGTGAGGACGGTGACGTACCCTCACGAGCTGTGATGGATTTCAGTTCCTCCCTCCCGGACTGTGCGGCGAGCTCGCAGAGGAAGCGATCCGCCTCGACTCAATTACGCTCTATTTACCGCCGTCTCAGTTTACTCCAGAGCCCAGGATAGAGGGACTCCGGGACCGGTAGGGGGACGAGACCCAACAGCGAGAGGAGGATCGCGCGGAGGCACGCCGCTGCCCGACCCTTTCTTTGACCCCCAAAGTCCGCCGCGGCGGCGACAGCGCTCCCTAAAGCGCAGGCCGGTCCGCTGCCTTCCTCCGCCGCCCGGCCGCTGCCTCGCTCCCCTTCTTCTCGCTTTCTCCCTCCCTGCCTATCCCCGCCGGCCCCGCACCGCGGGCCTGCGAAGGGCTGCCGAGACCCGAGCGCCGGCCACTCACCGCCGCCGTCCTGACAGGGCGAGGTCCTCTCCAGGCGCACGTGATGCTCGGCGCGGGGCAGGGGCCCGAAGGCCTGCACGCATTTGCCTGCAGACGCTTTGCTGTAAAAGGACTCATTGTCCAGCGTCTCCATAACGTGCTCCAACGCGCCTCCTGCGCCCAAGTAAAAGTCACTGTTTTTACTTGGCGGGCTCTTGAGGGCAAACTTCTCGCTCAGAAACTCCATAATCCTGGAAGGCTGTCGGGGAGCTCCCTGGGCGCGCAGGCTGGAGAGCGCTGGGGGAGGGAACGAGTGGGCGGGAGGAGGGAGGGCCTGAGAGGAGGGAAGGGAAAGCGAGCTCCGCGGCGCCGGGAGCTGCCCAGCTCCGAGCCCTTTAATACGTCCCGGTTGCAACCGGGGCACCCGAAGTTGCTTTTATATCTTGAAACTCAGCTGGGCTCCTCGGGCAACCTCCCAGTTCTAATGAATATGAAAATAGGCAGGCGACTAACTCCACCCCGGGTCCCCCTCCGCCCCCACCCTGCCCCCACCTTCCCCACTTACCCAGGCAGGGCGCGTCCAGGCCTAGGTTAGACAGACAGACAGCTCCATTTCAGACAAATGCCAGGAGAGACGAGGCCCCGACACCCAGAAACACTGCCGCCGCGACAGTGGACTGGCATTTCGGAAGAGCTTGGTGAGATCGCAAAGCAGTTAACTCTCCACTCTCCGCTCTCTGCGCCTTCCCGGGCCACCCGCCCCGCACCCTGTCCCCACCCCGCCCCCACGCCGGCCACTCACTACCAGAAAGACTTAGGGGCGTCTTAAGAACTTGAAAGGAAGTATTGCTCTAAAGGGCTTTTATTTCATCCGTAAATCGTTTTCGTGAGATCCACATTAATCCGAAGCCCAAGAAACCGGATGCATTGGCAGCTATTAATTGGAACGGCCCTGGTAGAGGGGCCTCTTCTACTTCTACCCGGGCGGGCGGAGCTGGCGCCCGGGCCCTGGGCGCCTCGCGAGGCCGTGGCCTTTCCTTTTACTCTGGAATGCAGCGGCGTGTGGACGCGGTGGCGATGCGTGGGAGAGGGAGGCTGAGCAAGAGGCATTGAAACGATTATACCAGCATCACCTTATTGCCCCACTTCTCCCTTTCGTCCGCAATTTTATCATTAGACCCAAATTATTGTAAGAAAACTCGTTAAGACAAGTGCCTCTAAAGGGCTTCTAGTCTAGTCCGGAGGGAGACTCGATACACAAAGGGGTTTGTGAAGAAGAGGAGGAAGGCCTTCAGCGTGCTTTTAATTTTTTTTAATATTACGTTTACTTTTAGAGAGTTGCGGTGGAGTTACTCTGGGGAAAGCGCGTGCGGGGAGCGAGTGGTGCGGGGAGCGAGTGATGCGCGGAGCTGGGCGCGCTCGCAGCGCGGCGTCCTGGCGCTGCAGGTCCCGGGCCTCCATTTCCGCCGGAGGGGATGGTAGGGCGAGCAAGACAGCACCGCGGGGTTGAAAGCCCCCTGTGTGACTTGCGGGCTCCACTCCGGGCTTCTGAGAGAAATGTGTTCAGTGTCCTGGGTACGAAGAGGCAGCCATTTGCAGCAGGCTCCTTACGCTAGCAAATTTGGTGAACAAACCCCACAAGTTGTGGACCAGGGAGGCCTCTGCTTATGCGTCCTGATACAGCCTTTCTCAGCACTGGCCCTCGCGGTGGCCGTCACGTTTCCCAGCTCCAACCTGGCAATCACGCCGCTGAGTTGAATACGCCGGCCTAACCCCGACGCTGGGGATGGCGAGGCCAAGCCCAACTCTGGAGGGCATTCGGGGTAGGTTTGGGATTTTCCACCCTTTTCTGGGGTTTTGGCTGACCCACGCCTCAGTGGTGAGACCTTTTTCAAGGCCCAACCAGGCCTGAGCCAGGGGAGAAACAATCACCGAGCACCCCAGAGCTGCTCCTTAGCACTGCCCTAAAGGGGGATCCGCCCTAACCACCTAGATCTGACCCGGCGGAACCCGAGCAAACAAGCCGGGAGCAGCAGCCTTAGTTGCTGGGCTCAAAGATCCAACCGTGACTGTTCTCCCGAGGAGGGGCATAAGCTCAGTTCACGTGGTGCTGCGCGCAGCGTGGCCTGGAGCGCGCATGCAGGTTCTGGCAGATTGACACTATTGCTGGGATTAAACAGCTTCTGCTGTATTATTATTACTATCTCCAGAGCAGAGCCGCCAGCACCAACGGCAAATTGTTAAATCTCAAGGGGGGTGAGGTCAAAGAAAAGCACTGGGGGACTGAGAAAGTCAGGCTGTGTCGTGACTCGGGGACATCCTCAGCATTGTGAGGCCAGACTTGAAGCAAAAGAAAAAAAGCCAAGGAAACGCTCCTGCCAGGGTGCCCTGCAGTATTCAGACTTTGCTTGAGCAGGAGCCGCAGTTCAGCGCTTCCCAGGCACTTTCTAGTGAGTTCCTGGGGCAGCTCTTGTGGGAACGTGAGGTGTTCAGTTATTCCCTCGCTCATGAGTGGGTTGGTGACTTTCGATCCTATGCTATCCCTTTTTGTCCCCTCTTCAGGTATTCTGAAAGTCTGATTTTCTCTAATATACACGGGGAAAGATAAGAGAAATGGTGGTTGGTTTTTCAGAATTTTACAGCAGCAAGAACAACTCCAATTGCTGACTTGAAATATACAAACTAGTTATAAACTTAGTTATCTCACTGAGCTCTGTCAGCTTGTTTATAAATATGTGCTTAAGAGCTCTAAATTTCCTGAAAAACATTCGATGTCTTTTAAATGAAAGACATATGATATGATGCAAGTTCTAGAGTACTTGTATACCAATAAAGGTCCAACTCATAAAAGGAAACTAGGGGGAGCCGAGGACAACAGCTTCCTAGTAAACCAGTTCCCACTCCATTACCCAAACTCACTTGGATAGTAGTGGTTGGAGGGATGGAGTGTAAGGTGTCACCAACCCCACTTAATATCCCTGGAGCCTCCTGGAAATGCAAATCTATTACACGGAATCCCATGTGTGTTGTGACACGTAACCACATGTGCCTATAACAGAGGGAACAGCTAATGGCAAACTCCCATAACGAATGCTTAATCTGCAGTTTTTGGCAAGAAGCTGGGTCTTTGGTTGCCAAGAGCTGCATTAAATGGATTGTGAGAGGTTGAGATGCAGTTTATGGTAATGACACAGCTCTAGAGATAGGAGCATTAATAATAAATTGAAAAATACTAATTAAAACAATAATGAAATAATTTCCAGAAGTCACAAGAAGGGAGAACAAATCAGATTGAAGGTTATCTCACCTTCCTCGAGATCTACTTGGGCTTTTTCTGCCCAGTACTTTGAGGATAACCTTCTTGGTTATCCTCAAAGTACTCATCCTTGGGTGAGAGTGTTCTGAGGGGCAATCAGTTAGCAAAAAAGACCCCATTTGTTAGGTCAGGCTGTAGTCGGGGTTGATTTTATGTCTACAGGCTCAGCCCATCACCCCCGGGAAGTGTCCGTCTTCCTCTTTGCCTCACCTTTCTATTTTTGCCTTTGAAGGTATTGTCCATCTCTTTTCATACTAAGGATCTAAACCCAGGAGTCAGCAACCCTTCTTTCATGTCAGTCAAGAAATCTAAGGGGAATGAGCTGCATACACCCTATTCTCATTTGCTTCCTGAATGGAACTTTCTGGATGGGCACCAACTCTTGCAGAAGGTAGTGCAAGTGTGGTCTGAGCAGGGTTAGCAGAGCGACAGAGATGGGGAGACATCAATTTCTTTTTTTGACCTCTGTGCATTGTGTAGTCATTGATGCTTCTTCCCATCTCCTTGATGGGGATGAAGAGCAATAGTTGGTGAGGGGTAAGGGACATCAGGAAGGAATGTGAAGAGTGGAGAAAGCAAAATGATGAGGGTTAACAAGACCTATTGCAGGTTCAAGTCCCAGCCTCTTAGAAAAAACTTTCTCCTCTAGCAATTAAGATGTTTTGGATCTTTCTTCTGGCACCATCTGATGCTAACAGAGTGGAAAGGCTATTTTGTGATGATGATTCTGATGCTGCCATTTGATGTTTCATCTAAAATCATTCCTGCAACCAGTTTGTTATCATCAGGTGGCAGCTCACCAAAACAGTGATTTTGAGTGTTTTGAAAAAGTTTTCCTTATTAAGTTTCCTTAAGAACTTAGAATTAAAGTAATTGAGTGAGTTGAAATTATTTGGAAAGTCCTTTGAAATGACTATTTGACACACACCCCAACCAAAGGTAGTGCTTTATTGGAAAGTAAAATTCAGATAAGAGATTGGCAGTCTAAGGCAGTTTGACTCACTTTACATTAAAAACAAAAAATTATCACTGACTAAAAGCAGCTTTTACTATCCCTCTCCCCTGTGTTAATATGTATTGAGAAATGAAAAATATTTATTTGTATGTATATTAAAGCAGTAATATATGAAATGTGTAGACTACTCTAGTTCCTTTCTTTTTCAACTTATTGAAAGAAACGTCACACTAATAATAGTGGGAATGTCAAGATAGGATCGCTAGAGTTTTAGTCTTAGCACTTTCTTTTTGTAGTGAGAGTTTGAGGCTTCGTATAAGTAAATCTAGGAAAAATGCGTGCTGAATCAGGAAAACTATGCCAAATGCAGAAAAGCTAGGTCTGGAGAAGGGAGGAGGAGCTGGTGGAGTAAAACTCTCATGAAAAAGTACTAAAATAATTGAATGTCATGTATTATGGCAAGAAGCCAGGTGGCCTCGTGTTTGTGTGTGCTCTGCTGCTGTTTTCCTTCCCTGGCTTCGTCTTCAGCCTTCCTACAGCTCTGCAGACATAACAGATAGAGAAATATATTTTGCATTGAAGCAGCTCAAAAGGTCTTCATCAAAATAAAAATACAGACACAAAGAAATATTTAGGCTTTTCTTTAAAATATATGCCAATTCATCATATACTCCAGAAAACATACATATATCTAATGTATAACTTTTTGACATTTTTGAAGTTTCTGCCTTTTAGAAAACAATTATCTGAATGTTAATTGATCCTGTAAGTCTTACAAGTGTATTATTACAAAGCTGTCAACTATAGTTATTTAAATTTTCCTTGATCTCAATAATATTAAATATTTTGATGTTTCAGAAACTTCTCATTTTTCAAAGAGCTTTGCTTGTTTTTGAATTTCAATTTATTTCTGTAACAGTTTTTCACAGTTGCTTTTTTCTTAAAAGAAGAGAACTAGATTTGCCTTCTATTCTCCTAAAGGATCCAATTAAAATGTAAAATTCTAGTATGACAATTTGCCCCTCATGCACATATCTTGACTTACTAACATGTGTTTACATTACTATTGTTTAGTTTAACTATAGACATATATTTAATTTCAAATATTAAAAAATCATGATGTAGCTGCAATAACGTAGTCACCTTTATTTCTCTCTATAGTTGTTGTCATTGTTCCAGAAAGTCTTGACCGTTAAAGTCAAGACTTTAAAAGACTTGACCGTTAAAGTTAGATTTCTTCTATGACACGTATAACTTTAAATAGTGCATAAATAAGTTAAACTGTATTTAATTGATAAACCCAAATTTCACTAGCAAATTAATCATTATTAATCATTTATCTAGAACATTTATTTATCTAGAACATAATTAATTATCTAGAAAAAGTTAATCATTATTAACGTATTATCAATCATTTATTAATCATTTATCTAGAACAAGTTTTCTACTCTTTTATTTGATAAGTGAATTGTTTAAACTTCTTTTCAGTATATTTAAATACATTTTTTCTCTGCTGATTTCCTAGATATGTCTTAAAGACAGGGCTGCTTATTTACGGACAGATGTTCTGCATTCATATTCACTCCTTGAGCTTTCACGTTTCAGGGGAAGATTTCCTTAAAGAAAATCTCAGTATAGCTACTGAGGCAAAATGATGGATGTTCCTCCTTTGGACTGGAATTATACAACGTAATAAGTGGAATTATACAACGTAATAAGTTCAATGCTCATTAAACGAACCCGACCAGAGTACGGCCGGTAGACAAAATCAAAGCAGGTCCCAACATAAAGAAACAGATTCTCCTCCTGAAAGTCCCCCACCTTCTGTGTCCCTCCTTTCCACGAATACCCTTTACCTTGGGACAAGAGGACACGGTTTGGGCTCTGAAGTGATGCACTTAGAACGCATCTCATTGTAGGCATGAAAACTATTTGAAATCTAGCTTAACCTCTTTGCCGTGGTGCTGCTTTATAAATTCAACAACAACAAAATAGAAAAACACAAAGACATTTATTACCTGGAGGATTATTCAGAGGGGAAAAAAAGAGGGGAGAGGAGAGAGCAACAGCTCCTTTATTTCTAAAATAATCAAAGAACTTTAGAGAAAGGTAAAGATTAATAATATTCCCTCCTCTCGTCCTCCCAACCCATGCCGCCCGCCCCTAGCAACATGGACTCCTGATGTGAATTTTGTTAAGTTTGTGTCCTAAGTAGAGTTTCGGAACAAAAAGCTCTCTCCGTGGCTCACAGAAGGAAAGCCGGGCTTGCGGGGCGCCTCTCCTCGGGGTGCAGGCGGGACCTGCCCGCAGCGAACCGCTCCCCAGACCCTGCGCCCCCGGCCGGCCCAGCGACGGCTGCAGCCAGACGTCTCGCCGGTCCTTTCGGATCAGGACCTTGTGGACAAGCTGCGCGCGACGCAGACTTCCTGGGCGCACCGCCACCTGGTGCGCAACTCGGGGAAGGACCACCCTCCGGGCCACAGGCCTGGGAGAGCGGAGAGGGACCGCGCTGCGGGGCCAGGCTGAGTCTCCGCCCCAGAGCCCTAGGCGAAGTCACCTACAACCGCGAATGGGCGCGCACAGGTAGAGAGGTTTCTAATCTGAGCAAAGAGCGTGAAGTGTTGCTTCTCGTGCAAACTTAAAAGAGCCTCGACGACGAATACAGACGGGAGTTAGCGGTTAACCGATTTGCTGCTAATATTTCATCAGCGGTGCTTTCCCCCCTTTAAAGTTTAACGCTTGGAAAAACGACACGTTTTAAGCTTTCCATCCAAATATTGATGTTGGCAAATAGATCATCTAACCGTCCCTTGGTGAAGGACAGTGCCCTTTTTGTTTCACAGGTTGGCGATCAGAATTAATCCATAACACAACATGCCGCAGGTTTAGAGAAAGGCAGGAGACATGGAACTCTCTCTTATAATATAGAGTGTCTGTGTTTCTGTGTTTGTGAAGTAGCGCACACCTCGCTGTTGACTACCTGTCCTCAACAGTGAGTGATCCATTCTCCCAGTTGGAGAGTGCCAGGTTTCAGCCTGACTGTAACAGATGCTCCTTCCTAGTGCATACATTAAATGTCAGGCCGTGGTCCAGGCTCAAGATCTTGTCCTACAGCAAAAAAGTTTTAACCTTTACTGAATTTTTTCTAACGTTCTTTTTATTAAACAAAGCTGACACATTACCTCGAGCAAGGTGACGCCCAGGGCATCTGAAGACATCTGCGGAAAAGCCTCAAAGACCACGTGAGATTACGTCATCTTTTCGGTCCCCAGCATCAGAGTCCCCCCCCCCTCCATGGGCCCTTCTTACAAAGTCACAATTAAACATTTTCTTACCTTCGCGGTTGCTCTCTAAGATCACAAAACCTCATGAATGCACGCTTTATTAACAAAGTTCAAATATAATAGGCATTTAAAATACTTACTGTTATTCTATTAAGTATTAAGCAAGTATTTTTTAAAATTACCAGAAAAGAAAGAAAAAAAGCTTTAGATAATTCAAATATCAAAAAAAAACTATAAGCAAAAATTTTAAAAAGGACTTTAATTTTAAAAGGGACTTGTTTGGGGGAAATGTCTTTAATTCAGTTACTCATAGGGAATCCAAATAATCCCAGGAGAGTTCATTTCTGATCAGTTTTCTTTAAATTCTTTATTTTACACTGTATTTGATTCATGTGCTACTTTGGGGAAGAGGTAATCATTCGTTTGCTATTTTAGGAATTGCTCAATAATTTAATTTAGCTAAATCTAAGTAACTGATTATTCTCTTTTGAGTAAGAATGCCCTTTAATCTTGCATTCTTTCTAATGTTAATAACACTTTGAATACTTGTCTTACAGTTTAAAAAGAAATGTAAATCTTGGCAAAATGAATTAAAGAAAGAAACTTTAAAAGTAATTTTCATTTCTTATGAAATAAAGTAGATCCATGGGCAATGTTTCATTTAAGGCATATAAGCTTCTTTGGTATCTATAACTGCTGGATCACAGCTGAGGCAAACTATATAGGATATAAAAGTGTCTCTATTGCATATCATGCAACTTTTTAGCTCTAGAAGTGAACATCATGGAATACTGTAAATCATTTTTTTTTAAATTTCCTTCAGGTATTATCCATTAAAGGTGGTCCTTTATTCAATATTTTTACTAAAAACTCAAATATAGATACTGCACTAAGTTTTATTAACTATCCATTATTAGGATTGATAGTTAAATTTTTAGAATACAAAAAATATTGGAATACATTTTGGGGGAAGGTAGAATGATGGAATCAAATCAATGGAGATAAATACAAAGTTGCAAATTAAAGTAAAAAAAACATAAAAGAGAGGAAACAAAGATTCTAAGGGTCCAAACAATAACGATCTGAGGATATTTTGAGACTACAGCATGACTCAGTTGCTAAAGAAGCTAAAACAAATTTAGCTCATATTACATTAACAGAAGTGAAGCAGTCACACATCAGAAAAGATCAAATCTTCACTATATGCTGAACTATGCAGAAATATAAAAAATTAAGAAATGTTCTGGAAATAATTTTTATAGAGAAAAATAATTTTGAGCTTTTCTAGTGTACAATAGCTGAGTCAAAAAGGATTTGTAAACCTTATCATACAAAGAATGGTTACAAGAGTTAGTGATTTTTATCTAAGACATAAGAAAGAGTGATTCAATTTATTCAGTTTAACCTCAGCTGTGGAACTAAGTGGATTGACTTGAGTTAGAAAATAGGTTTTTTAGGTAAAAGACAAGCTTTTTAACAGTGAAATTTCCCTATAACTAATGTGGGCTGATTCTTGAAGCTGCATGCTACTGGACAAGAGATGTTACAGAGGTAAATCTGTGTCATGCAAGTTTTTTTCAAATTAAAGCTTCCAAATGATGTCCTTAATGCATACCGATAGCCTACATCTCTGAAGTTTCCTTCACAAGAAAATTAAAGTACTACTATTTTCCAAATTTAGTTTAGTTTCTCTAAAGAAAAAAATTGTTATGTTTTGCCTTAAGCTGAAATTAGACTACATTTAGCAAGTGTCTTTAGTCAAATAACCATTGTATCATTCTGACATGCCTATATTTTATTATATTGATAACTTTTTGGATTTCCTAATGACAGCACATTTGGCTGATTACATACAGTTTTTATCATAATGTATATATATATATATATATGCATCTCTATTTCATCTGTAACATCAAAAGCGTAATAATGTACAGACTAGATTCAGTCTTACTGGGGTTAAATCCAACTCTATCATATGCTGGTTGTGGGATGCTGGGATGCTATGATTCAATGTCATCTATAAAATGAGGGCCAGGAATAGTACCTGTTACAAAGAGAAGTAAATAGAAAGAAAGTTAATGTATCTGAAGCATTTAGAATAGTACCTAGTCATAAAATAAGCACTAAGTGTTTGTTATGATTTTTAAAATTCAGAATGGGAAAGCATTTAATAAAGATTATGGACATAGAAAAAATAATTATCTAATGGTGCTATGAAATGAAAATTGACTTAAAAACAGAAACAAAGTATTTAAATTAAGTTAAATATATGATTAAATTAAATATATAATTATGACTACTTAGGAGTAGAAAAAAGAGAAAGGCTCACATGTGGGAAATAAATCTTTATGTGGGTGCTAGGTTCTGGGGTGTGTGTAACACATTAAGGCAAGTGTGCTTGCCCCAAACTACTTTTCAGTTAGGATATAAACATAGGTATAACCCCTAACTTAAATTTTCCAAGATTTTTGTGACTCCAGAGACTGGGGTCTTATTCTGCCCAAAACTACCTATATGACCTAAAACAAACACAGTTACCTTTTAAGGCCTCAGCTTATCTTGTTAGAATAATCTTTTTTCTAAAATTATTATTGAAAAAAATTTAATAGAAATACACTTCTTTTCAATTAAACGATATGGTCTCTAAGATGCTGCTATGATTGAGTCTCCCCTGAATTCATATGTTGAAACTCTCATCCTCAGTGTGAAGGGGGGGGGCTCATGATGGAATTAATTTTCTTAAAAGAAGAGGAAGAGACACCAGATCTCTCTCCTTGCCATGTGAGGACACAGTAAGATTTTTTCTATAAATCAAGAGGAAGGCCCTAACCAAGAACCCAAACATACTACTGCTTCCCTAATCTCAGAATTGTAGCCTCCAGAACTGTGAGAAATAAATGTCTGCTGTTTAAGTCACTCAGTCGATGGTATTCTGTAATAGAAGCTCAAGCAGACTAATACAGAAGGGGCTTCTAACTCTTTGATTCTAATATATGCCAGGTAAAAATGTTAGAAATTCTAGCTTTTTTCAGCCATTACTAGACTTAGAGGACTCAGCATAGTACTCCTGGAGGTCTCACAGAACTCATTCCCTAGGGTAGAACAGCTTGTTCAGGAAATCACTGTCTATTACAATGTCCTTATAAGGAAAGCATTTACAAACGATTCTGCTAATGTCTATGCTTGGAAGTAACTTCACTCAGATTTAAGAAACATCAGCATATACAAAACTCAACTCTCAATGAACTGAAAGGCTCAATAGGTCATTTAAGTTTTCTTCCACTTAATAATACTAATAAACAAATCAGTATATTCATTAAGCAGAGACTTTAGTATAAGTAATTTTATTATCATTTCATATTTGAATTAAATTATTATTTCCCTACTCATGTCTAACTTTATTTCAAAATATACCAATAATTATTGGTAATAACATTATCTGAGAATACTATTGTCTTCCTATTTATGAAAACCATCACATAGCAGTTTTCCACTTAGAGATCACATGAATAACTCAAAGCCTATAGGTTGGACAGTTCTCAGGTTATGAAATCCTGCCTCCCGGTCACATTTCCCAGTAATTTCCTGTGTCTCTCACCAAGCTTTATCAGTTCTGCCCAATAATCTAATCTCTGAGTTGTTCTACTGTCCATTCCTTGGATATGTCACTGTGATCTGTCGCCAGGTATTTATTCAGGATATATTCTTTGCCTAAAATACTTTCCTTAATATCAATTCATCCTTCAAGGTCAGTTACATTGAATATGAAATCACCCTTTTCGTCCAGTCCCATTTGAAAATAATCATTCCCACCTCCAAAACAATTTTTATCCCTTTTAGGATTCTAAAACAAAAGTTCTTTATAGTGCTGTTTATTGAATCTAAGTTAATACTTACTTAAAAAAATTAGCTTATGAAGATAATACGATAAAAATGTTTTGTTCTCAATAGAAAAGATAATTGCACATTCTAAATAGTCAATAAAGATTAAGAAACAAAACCAATGGATGTATATCTTTGTCTTTGTCTCCGTAGAGATTCAGTGAGCCAATATTTCCACTTAAAGGGGAAGAGATAAAAAGCAGATAATGTGTGAGCTAGTCTCATTAATTACCTGACATCCACTTTGGGACCTTGGTAGTGGAAACATTTTATGGGTATATTTTGGAGTATAGAGCATTAGCTACAGAGTTTTGGTGCTGTCATTTCCACTTATTTTCTAGGAATATATCTTTTACATGCCCATGTAAAAAAATAAGTTAATGTGCTATTTGAAATATGTACCTTTTACACTTCCAAAGTATTCTACACACCTCCAATGGAGAGAGCATGTATTTGAAGCATTGAATTCTACTTCCATTTAAAGGCAAATCTAGAGAATTCAGTTCTCAAAAACTGTTTAAAAGTAATTTTCCCATTATTTCATGGAAATATTTCCTCAATATGGTATGTAAAATTGATCCAATTTTAATCTGCTTAGACAGATTTTGGTTTAATTTTAGGAGATTCTTCTGGGAAGGTTTACTGTGTCAAGTCACTATCCATTGAGTATTTACGATGCCCAAGATACTCAGCCAGGGGCCTCTTGTATACTTTGCCACTTGACTTAATATCATCCTAATTTAATGGTACACAAACAGGCTCAGAGAGTTTGTCACTTATTCAAGATGCCTCATCAGAGTGAGGATTAGAACACAGGGCCGTCAGATTATAAAAACCATGCTCTTTTCACTTTTTTCCATATGCTTCATACCAAAATATGTACTTAGCAGAACAAAACTGCTGTGCCAATTTCTTTGTTCTATGTATTACATTGAGTTACTCTTAAGTATTGGTTTCATTTTGAAGTTAATAGGAAATCCATGGTTAGAGCAAATTTGAATGATGCAGAGGGAGATGAGAAAAAAAGCCTACCCTTACTATGTCTCCTCATGATTTTCTTCTGATCCATGAACTTTGGTAGAGAAATCTTGAATCCAATAACTTTGGGAAGAAACCTCAAATCCATATCAAAGTATAAAGTAGTAAAGTTAGCATTTTTTAATTTTGAATATGTATATTTAAGTATTTATTAATAGTACAAACTTATAGATGTCACTAATCTAAAATGACCTTATTTTTATACCTTCTTATTTCTGTATGACATATAACTTT